TTGTTATCGTTTTCAACAATAGAAAAATACTGCAGCCAAAATCAATGGAAATCAATGCCCTTGCAACAAGGAGAAAAGATACAACATAGCAAGGTACAATTTCATATGATGAGATTTTTCTTTTTGGAGTGAATCACCACATTGCCGGAATGGTTAAAGAAGATGTAGCACAATAATTCAAGGAATACATAAGAAAATAAACTGCAGACAAATAAGAAGACAAGAAGCATCAGATAGAACCAGTTGACTTTCATAATAATGTGGCAAAAGAACCTAAACTGTCAAATACAAGGTTTCAAAAAATCGATCGATTCGTGCAATGTTTTTTGAATGAAGAACTTTTTGAAAATCTTGTAGAAACCTCAGAAACCTTACCATATCCTCTTGAAATCATTCCTAGGGAACAAGTAAGGTTATTAGAAGACTTTTGCGGTGGTTTTGAGCTTGACCTCACCTAGCTTAGGCATATACTAGCACCAGTTCCTAGGCCTGCCCAGGCAGGCTAAGCGGATGCCCAGCGCCCAATCCTGGGTGAGCGCCCAAGAATTGGGCCCTGTTTTGGTAAAAAAATAACCTGTCAAGGGCAATTTTGGGTCTTTTTGACCCATAAAATAGGGGGAAAAGGTTCATTTGGGGTATTCTATACTCCCAAGGTGAAAAAATTCAATTCTAAACTCTAAAAACACCAAAAATCATTGCTTTTGCAAATCTTTTGGAATCGAGAAAAAATTGTAAAGTTTTAAGAATCATCCAAAAGCTTACCCAATCTTGTTGGAATTGAAAATATCCCATTTCATTCTTTTACATTTATCTTATATTTGATATTACATCATTTTGTATTGGTCTTATTGGAGACTTCGAGTCTGTGTAATTTTCTACGAAGATTGTATGGCACTATAGAGTATGGAGAGTTCGAGACTAATACACTATGGATTTTTTATGTCTTTCACTAAATCTTCAATAATTTGAAGTTACATAAGCACAAAAAAATTAGTTAGGGTATATAAAAATGTTAAAAAGGAAAATATACAAAATCGACAAAAATATCTGAATATATGAGCGTTTGGACAGCACATATATGCATTATTTATGAAAATTTTGTCACCACAGGGCACTTGAGGTTTTGGGCACCCGCCTAGCCACTGGGCACCCAAGGCCACACGAGCCGCCTAGCATATTTTGAAACCTTGTGTCCATACAATGCTGGAAGTAATTGGGCAATTTGGGCCAAGGTTTGAAAGGCCCATATCCATATGAGCTTTCAAAGACATTATTGAAGAAAGAGATAGAATACACCAAGGAGTACAATAAGGATGAGTGTGCTCATTTTGAGGTGTCCATTATGATAGATCCATGGTGTGACAGGAGGAGAACGAGCATCATGAACTTTTGGTAAACTATCATTTAGGAACAACGTTTTTTAGATCTATTGATGCTGCTACAGATGTTCGCAATGCATATTATATATGCGTTTTTATTGATAAGGGCAAGTTGGAGGTGAAGCACAAGCATATAATACGAGAGGTCACAAATGATGTTGCATCTAATTTTTGTACCGCTCATTTACTTCTATAAACAAAGCCTCATATATTTGGACACCCTTGCACATTGCACATACCTCATGCTTGAGACCAATGGTGAGATTCCAAGTGTCAAAGGGACACTTTCCAAGGCTGAGGAGGTCCCAAATTTCATATACAGACACACCATTACTCTTAGCATGATGTGCAAGTTTACAAAAAAGAGAGATTTAGTAAGGCTCAGAATTCCAAGTGTCAAAGGGACACTTTCCAAGGCTAAGGAGGTCCCAAATTTCATATACAGACACACCATTACTCTTCGCATGATGCGCAAGTTTACAAAAAAGATAGATTTAGTAAGGCTCGTGGTCACCAGATTTGCTACCGCTTACTTGAGTTTACATAATATATGGGAGAGGATGCCATCAAGATCTATGTTCACTTCAAAGGATTGGAACATATGCAAGCGGTCTAAAGATCCCAAAGCAAAGAGGGCCCCTGATAATATTCTATCTATGGTTTTTTGTTGTGAAGTAAGTACTTGCTTGTTTCTCCTTAAGTGTGTGTTGTCGAGCACACAACATAACAGTTTGTCAATCCTACTACCACTTGCTAGAGTGGCTCTCATTAGGTTGTTGTTAATCTCAACTCTGCCCCACAGCATTAGTATTCCAGTCAAGCTGACTTCCCCTCCTAGAATAGCCCTTTCCTCTGCCGTGCACTTCCACAAAATTCAAAGGGGCAGCATCATCGTATGCTCGACATTTGTTGCCATTGTGTATATCCCAAAGTACTCCTATGCCCGATCTGTCACCCATAAATTCTTGGCGGCTCACTAAGAGTTATCTCTACCTTAGCACGGTCTTGCACTTGGTTGATAGCAACCAGCCCTCGGTGGGCTGGCTTTATGCACTATTCTTTAGATGGAGCTAAGAAGGAGATAGCAAAGGGTTTGGGCAATGGCGAGGGAAAGTATGGCACAATTTGAGAGATTATGGATGGAAAGTGAACTTGTTCCTAAGCCAAATATCTAAGATAAGATATCTACTAAGGAATTCATCTTGTACAAATATGCATTAAAGTCATTTGGGAAGGAAATGGTAGTGACGCAAGGACCAACTACAATCCAGGTAATATTTCATTTGAAACTTTCTTCCAAGTTGCAAGTTAACGGAAACTTTACAAGTTTTCAACTTCCACACTGATTTTTAATAGTGTTTCAAATTTTAATTTCTTTAAAAGTTTTATTACTTAATTAAAATATAAATTGCACTTAAATTAGGAGTGAAAGGATTAAATTATTATAGAATCCTTGGATTTCTTACATTTTTAATAAAATTTTGAATTTTTTAAAACTTCATTAGTTATTTATAATATTCCATGGACTGCGCTCTTGACCTAGGATTCCTTTTGTTGATTCAAAGAAACTTGAGTAGAATCTTTACATTCTGTCATGATTCTAACATAATTTTACACATTGATATAGATTTTTTATGATTTTGGAATCATTTCCAGTTGTATTGAAGAAAATTAAAGTTTCAATTGCATCCTGCTACAATAAGAGATTGATATAGTTGAAAATTTATTGAACAACCATGACGTTTGAGATGGCTTATATTTGCCCAGAATGTTCTAATAAATTTTGTGATTGCTCTTCTACTTGATCCTTTCCATCATTAGTGTAGCCCCTCCCCAAGCCTCTCGTTTAAATGAATTTGGAAATAGTTCTTTAACATATAGCTTATTTTTGCTAAAAGACCTTGGAATCTAAGGTTTAACCACTGAGCTTTGCCACACCTTTCTCCTTGTGGCATTGATTGTGTTTTCTTGAGGAGTCTCATGTTTACATATGAGAAGAAATTGTCATTTTGACCATGGTTAATGAGAAATTGCAGTTTGACTGCTGTTAAGGATGCCCTAGGCAGTTAAGGGAGACCTAAAATGTAGCTTTTGAGAAACCAAAATCCAACACACAATTGGGCATGGGAATTGGGTCGGGTTGAACCATGGACCGGATGGGTCGACTTGTCCGGGTCCGAATCTAGACCTGGATTTTGGATCCGACAAGTTGGGTCTGGGTCCATATGACCTTGATAAAATTAAATTAATTATAGAGATTGTACCCAATTTGCAGCCCAATGGTGGAGCCATAATGGAAGTGGTGCTCCAAACCTCCAAAAGATGGCTATTCAAATCTTAAGTTTAGTTACAATCTCTTCTGGTTGTGGATGAAGTTAGTTCGTTTAAGATGGTATATTTAGTTGTTTACTTGACATTACTATTCTATTAGAGAAGGCATAGCATTAATTATACTTTTATTTTCAGTTCTCCCTAAGCGTAAATTTAAATTTCTAAGTGGATGGCTCATGTAGTACACGTGCATTCTTTCTTATAGGTGCATATACAAAAGAAAAAAGGAATAGACTTAAGCAAAGGAAGCTCAATGATTTAGTATTTATCATATAATATTAAAGGAGAAGTTTAATCAGTGTGAGAAGAGGTCCAATCCAAAGTAAAAAAGGTTCCGTAAAATCCGATCAAAGCCAATGTTTGAATTATCAAACCGGTTAAATAGCGTTGTGCAATTTTTAAAATATATTTATGCTTTAACACTATTATTCCTATTTTTTATGAAAATCTAGTCGAATTAGTTCAACCAGCAGTTGAACTAGTTTTGATTAAACCAAATCACCAGTTTGGTCACCAGTTGATTTTGGAAATGTTGTGTCGTACAAATATTTTCATTTTGGTTTTATTTATGTTGACATATGTAATTGATGGAACAGTGGATCATCATCCCACTGCATGGTTGGAACTAAAAAAAAAAAAAATTATAGTATCGTCAAAATCAATTTTACCACCATTGGGGTGAAAAAATAATAGACGTTTCTTTCCCAAACATAGATACAGGTTAGGCGTGACAGGAGAGACAAATTGCATACTATAAGAAGGTCTATGTTAAAATGAACAAATCCAAAAGCAAGGCAGCTAGATAAGAAGCCAGAATGAGTAATCCCTGGTCAAAGACCATATTTGACTAGATAACTTCTTGATTAATAACTAGTGTGACAGAAAATTTTAATGAAAACAACAGTTGTTTTGGTAAGTGATTAATACAAATACATTTCAAAAGGATTAACCCAAGGAAAAGCCAATAAAGGCAGGAAACAAATAAATAAAGAAATAACAAAAGAAAAAATCACTTCCAAAAAACACAGAACCATACACACCCGCATTAGATGCGACATCGTAAACTCAATAGTTCACAAGAAGACCAAACAAGAGTTACATGCTCTCCTAACAAGAAATAACAAAGCAAAACTGGCTTTTTAGCGTTTGCCACAAAACAATCAATATCAAAAACTTAGATTTCACAAACCATTCCACTTTAATAATTATACAGACAAAAAAATCCTATAATGCACCAATAAAAATAAAAACATTAGAGCTACCATTGCATAATTAGGGCAAAGCCTTTACCATCTTTAAGGGGAAGCAAGCACTCATATGAAATCTCAAACTGAAAGGGGTTGAGGAAAGCAGCAGGGTTATCCAAGACCGTGACGTTTGTTATATTGACGGCACTCATCGTCGAGAAAACCAATGAAATCAGGACAACGCCATGAAAGTTGCAGACAAACGAAACCCTAGACCAAAACCCTAGTTAGTATCTTTATTAACCAAATACATACAAGCTTTTTCTTTCTTTTTATTTATTTTGTGTTGATTTATGAATTCTAAATAAAAACCATTTTATAGTGAGGCCTGCCCGTAAGAGAGGTCATGTTGACCGGCAGTGGCCGGTTACAGTAAAGAGCCCGGGCTAATGTCGCTGCCAATATTGGCGGGAAATTTGAAGTTTTATGTTTCGTGGATTGGAAAATGACATTGACGGTTTAAAAGTAAGTGAAAACTAAGCGGGGTTTATTAGCAATACAGTGAGTGGAAGGCTGGGATTGTTCCAGAGTAGGGCTGCCAATGGTTTGGGCTGGGCTGCGAAATGTGGCCATTTTCGGACCTAAATCGGTGCTGGTACGGGCTTTAGATCGGGGTAAGGGAATACAGGCTTTTATCGGAGTCGGGCGGGATTTTAATGAAATGGCCTGAAAAGCCCAAAACCTTCTTGCCCGCCTCTCCCCCAGCCCGAAAGCCCTCTCCAGCTTCTCTCTCTTTCATCTGCCAAGGTGACCCTTTCCAGGTAAAAAATAGAACTCACTAAATTCAGAGGTCCCCGTTTTAGGCCAAAGATAGAAAGCTACTAATTTTTAGAGAGCGAGAGGATTTCGAGAGAGAGAGAGGGGGCGGCAGGGATGGGGAATGTGGGGTGAATGGCCACATGTAATCACCCTCTTCCCAATATTTTTTATTTCTCAATGAGTTATAAGGTTTTAAATTTTTTATAAATTATTTTAGCATTTTTTTTGGCTTACTACAGATAATAAAAGTTTGAAGAGAGAGATATTCTTTTTTAGAAAAACATAGCCTCTAATTGGGCGGGGCCTGGTATTTATTTGGACGGGCCTAGACCAAGCTTGATAGATTATTACGGGGCAGGACGGGTGATGATAATTTTTAAGCTTTTCTAGGCTCGAGACCAGGCTGAGTGGTAGCCCCATTCAAAAAGTGAGGGAACTGAGTACCTGGGCCTCTGGCTCAAGGGAAAGGGGTTGATTCTAGATAAGTAGTAATCACCTTAAACTTGTACACAGAGACATATTTATGTGTGATATAGATCTAGGCAGATGATTGGGATAGTTTTAGTTATAATTTCATGCTTAATAATATTTTTTTTGTTTTTTTGTACAAATTATCTTAATAGGAGATTTAGGACATGACTTATTAAAAAAAGTAGCATGTGTGCCTATATATATATATATAATTTAAAATAGTGATATGTATTTTGAACCACTCGATGAATAATGATCCTATAGGACCAACCCCCTACCTATGTGAGTAGGACCCTAAAGAATCACCATTAAATTTTGACATATATA